TAGTTAGAGGCAAAAATCAGGTTTCCAGTTTCCATTTCAGTATTCTTTCTATCACATCACATTGACTTCTATCTATGTTACTTACTATTTATCTAAGTGGCATTTGCCTTGAGCTTCTCATTAAGTAATGAGAATGAATCAGGTGAGGTGGAAAGGCAGTGACACACAGAAGCGGCAGCTGTGGGTTTTCTTAGGATCACTGCAAAGCTATCTTCAAGGTGGCCATCAAATAGGATAATTCAGTGAGTCCGGTTCAAAAGCTTCACAATGTGACAATGGAAATGGACTTGATTTAGCTTCAAAGATTCTATTAACTCAGAGAAACGATGATTTTCTGGGAGAATTAACACACAGCCACTGAGAGAGGACGAAAGTCACTTTAGTGCTTTGAAACTTCTTTCAACTCAATTCTTAGATCTTCACACAAAACATTATAGCTTAGATTCCTGGTCCTATAACACGTTTCAGAGCCAGATGATTACATCTTGATCCTGATTTCAAAGGAAATGTAGAATTTGTAGCAAGCTCATTTTATAAGGTTGAGAAATCACCTGCTCCAGAAACTGGCACTCCTGTGAATCCTCTTAAATGCATCATTTATATTATCTGTATTTGGAAGGAATTGCTGGCTTGGGACACATAACCTTTACTTCTAAGGCCAAAAGTGTATTAAAATTGTGACAAATGAATAGTAGAATATCACTGACTTCTCAACTAAGCTATTATCACTCTATCATCTCTCCTGCTCTCCTAATTAAATAAAAAAACCTGAGACAAGAAAAAAGTCAAGATTTCTGAAGTTTTAAAAAACATTTTACTTGTTAAAGTATCAAACTTAAAGAAAAGATGCTAGAATAAAAATCATTCACCTGTGTATCTTTTACCTAGATTCACTGTTAACTTTTTTTTGGCTGCACCTCACAGAAGGCTGGGAATTCCCCGACCAGGGATAGAACCCACAACTTCTGCAGTGGAAGTGTGGAGTCTTAACTACTGGACTACCAGGAAAGCCCCTTGCCTTTAACAGTTTTTTACTCATTTGCTTTGCCATTTATTCCTCCTGCTCCAACCTCTCTCTCTCTTTCTCTCTCTCTCTCTCTCTCTCCACACACACACACCCACCCACATGTGAATTTATTTTATTTGAGAATAAGTTCCATAGGTCATGACCCTCTAGTCCTAAGTATTTCAGTATGTACTACCTAATAGTAGGGATAGTTTGTTTTGTAACCACAGTTGTTAACCTCAATAAATTTAGCATTTGTGCATTAGTCTGAACTAATCTACCTATTCATATTTCAATATTACCAACTGCCCCAATGATGTCCTCTATAACTTTTCCCCTCTCCAGTACTGGAGCGAAAGAAAAGGGCCAGGTATTAGATTTAGTCATCAGGTCGTCTTAGCCTTCTTGAATCTGGAACATTCCACAGCCTGCTTTTATTCTTTATGACACCGACATTTTTGAAAATAGAGTTTCATCTCCTCTCTTTTTGAAAATACAATATTCACCATTTTGAGTTTGCCTGGTAATTTGTCTCATACTTAGAGCCAAGCTCTGTATTCTCAGGTGGAATGCTAAAACAGGGATGGTGTGTCCTCCGCAGAGGATCACATCTGGAGACACACACGGTCCAACCATCCCTCACTGATTACCTGGTCAAGGTGCTGTCCAATTTCTCCACTGCGTAATTGTGGATTTCCCCCTTGCAATGAATAACAATCCGTGGGAAGGCACTGTAAGACCATCCAAGTACCCTGCTCTTTGTTGAAATTTAGCAGCTATTGATGCTTCTTGCTTGATTCTGTCATTTCAGTATGATAGTTTCAGAAGGATGACTTTCCAGCTCCCACACTCTCTTCACATTTACCAGTCAGCATTCAAGATTCTGCTGTAAACGAGAGCCCTTTCTTCTCTCCATTTATTTATTATCGGTATGAACCCACAGATTCTTATTTTTTCCCTAGCACTTTATAACTCATTACTGTCCTTCATGATTTTCATAATCAAATTTCCCCAGATTTGGCCACTGATAGCCCCTTCAAGCTGGCTTCTTTGTCCTTGTGACATGCCTACATTTTTTAAAGCACTTCCTTACTTTCTAGTGTAATAAGATGTTCCAGGCCCATCTTGTACCTCCATTGCACCCTTCCTCTGTCCCTCAGAGATTCCTGGATTTAGATTTAGATTTGCCATGCAGACTCAAAATTGTGGAAAACCCCACCTCCCCTGTTTATTCACTTACTGGTCCAGCCCCTCTCCACCCAAAGGTGACCATAATCACCACCACCATGAAAACTCCAGGCTCACTTGACTGCCAGCTCTACAAGGTCGAGGCCTCTGAGTCTTTGCTCTTGTCTGTGTTACCTCCTTACTGGTTCGGGACATTTAAAATGCCCCAAATAGCCACGCCTGGGCCAGTTAAATTGTTTCTCTACTTGTGTTTCCATAACATTTTTTATATACCTTTATTATGGTGTTGACCTGGTATCATTGTACTTTGGTTACATTCCTGGCTAGACTGAAGTCATATATTTTCAAGTGACCTGGGGAGGAGGGTATTTATTTTCCCTAAACTGCAGATGAGAAACCTGAGGTTCAGAGAGGTGAGCCTAAGAGAAGCATCAGAGCAGAGGGTGAGGTCTTGATTACAGCCAACTTCTGCCCTTTATTCGTGGTCAGACCTTAAGCAGGTGACTAAGCCTGTCTGTACTTCAGTTTCCCTGGAATCAATGCGGATGATGATAAATAGAAACTGCCATGTGGGGCTGTTTTGTGGCTTAAAGGAGTTAATACTTGTCCAGCCCCTAGAATAGTGCCTGGCACATGGTAAGTGATGGGTAAATGTTTGTTGAGTAATTAAGTGATGTTGTTGCAATTCAAATCCCAGTCTTATGATGATAAAGCTCCTAGCCACTGCTCTGTTGTAACTTTGTAGGATTAAGATTCTCTGAGAAGCAGTGATTCTATTTTTGTTTCTGCTTAGTGGCTAAGCCATGTCCAACTCTTTGCGACCTCATGGACTGTAGCCTGCCAGGCTCCTCTGTCAATGGGATCTCCTAGGCAAGAATACTGGAGTGGGTTGCCATTTCCTTCTCCAGGGGATCTTCCTGACCCAGGGATTGAACCTGCATCTCCTGCATTTTCAGGTAGATTTTTTACTACGGAGTCACCTGGGAAGCCCAGTGACTCCAGACAGTAATTCTATTAGAGACAGCAATAAAAGGAAGCTGGTTTGGGATATAAAACATGAATAAGGTAAGAGGAAGTGAAATATCCCAGCTAACTGCTGAATTAAGGCATGGACAGGGGAAGGATGCAGGTGCCTTGTCCTCTGACTCTGGGTCTTGGGGGCATTGGCTGCACATCCAGGTAAGGACCACCAGGTGAATTCTGGGAGCTGGTCCCTCTCGTTACATGTCCTTGTCTCAAGTCAGGTGTGGGTTAGACATTGGGCCCCAAGGGGTGACGTCACAGAGCTTCTGCCTCTGTGTTCACAATTCTGCAGGATGGTGCTATGGACAATCAGAAAAGTTAATTATTGCTTTAGTGAAGATGGCAAAGGCATTGGCCAAGTTCTTGAATCTTATGTGTGTTGTACTATTGTGGGGGTTAAGAATAAAATTTACATTTCAAAAGCAAGAATCATTTTTATTCTTACCTAATAGTTTACATAACTAAAATCTATTATTAATAATGTTGATATGATTAAAAATGTGATTGTTCTGGTAGATGACAACTGCTAGCTGAGTTACAAAGTTATGTAAAAGTTTTCAGTTTAGAGAACAGGGGTAGACAGTGTTGGTCTACATGTGGAAAGGTTACTCAGGGGTTAACCATTGTGTCAAATATTAGCTATTAACAATTTAGAGCAGATGCTCTACCAAACTGGGAGATGTTGGAGAACATTCTCAAGCTTGAGCATGAGTCGGAAGCATTTTTAGGGCTTGTTAAAACAAAGATTGTTGAATCCCATCCCCAGAGTTTCCAACGCACTCTGTCTGGGATGGAGCCCATGAATCTTCACTTTTAATAAGTTCTCAAGTGACGCTGACATTGCTGGTTCAGGGACCCAATCAGAGAACCACTTCCCTCTGTTGATTTAGAACAAACATCCCCTCACTGGCAGTCCCTTCCACCACCTGAGTTGAAACTCAGTATAACTAGATTTGATTTAAACAGGCCACCCTCAGCAGTCAAATTTCCCAACCACTTTTAGTATTTTACAGACCAAGGGAGCCATCACTTATTTCTCCATAAGAAAAAACAAACAAAACCCAAGCAAACCTGTAAGTTCTTGAATATCACGGTTAATTAACTGTAGTACTAGATGCATGTTTCTGATGTCTTGATAATTAAACACATTAAGACTTTGTGCTTCTTGCCAATATTTTTATGTAACAATTGAAATACACCTCTGTTAGTCTGTCATTGGGACATTCTCGAACCGGAGACCTGAGAGGTGATGACCAGCAGGTGGCGCTCTGAGTCAGTTCGTGGTGGGCTGGATGCAGTGAAAGGCAAACAGAGGCAAGGTGCCTGCTTTAAATCCTCAAAGTAAGGTTCTTTTAACCACTTGTCATAAAACACCCTGAGACACACGTCTTGGAAAATCGAAGTGTCAAGCTCAGCATCTTTGCCACATTTCAAACTAGGTAATTACCTTCTCTCCCAAAGGGAATCTGTTTTATGTATTTGTGTCCTTTCTAGGTTACAGGTTTCCCAAAGGCAAAGATCTTGCCTTCCATTCGCTCCATACAATGCTGAAGTGAAATGCTTGTTTTACAATAACAATCTAATTATTCTACGTCCCTCTGAGCTACATGATGACCTGTTACATACTAATTGCTAGTAATATAGAAATGTGCCTGCCTCCTATAAACCCCACACATAAACCTAAGTTTTATTTGACCTAAATGTAAATTGCTTATTTCTCCTTTCTAATATAAAGTCATTTTTCTGCCATCCCAAATTATAAGTCATTGCCAAATACACAACATTGCATTTTAGTCAGTCATTTTTATTTTCCGCAGAGATTTTTTTAAACTACACACGACAAATACTTTGATATAATCTAAGATAATAAAATAGTTGAACAACTTTTTTTTTAGATTTACATTTGTATAGAAACAATCTGTGGAACTCCTCACTTCAAAACTAAGGTGTCTAAAAACAGTGATTCATCAGCATTGCTTTAAATAATTGTTTGGTTAAAAGTTGCAGTTTTCATTCTCAACTAAAATGTCTCCATGCAGTGTCCCTTAGGTCCAAAGCTTAAGGCCTTGGTAAGGTGGCCAAGAAGAAAAAGATGGCCACTCTTTATCTCTGTCCTTCCCTCATATGGAGGACAGGGGCTGGAACAGGGTTCCATAAAAACCAGGAAGAAAATAAATCAATTGCACATCTCTAGTTTTCAAGGGTCAAAGACATAACAAGTCTGGGCAGAACATGTCCCTATCTGTAGATGGAAGTCCCATTATGATGGCACAGCAGCCCCCCAACACTCTCTCCTTGGCTAATCATGTCAGTTATTACCCATAGGCTGTGGCCACTGTCCCTAAGTTCTCCCTCAAGGCCAGTCGTTTTGTGACATTTAAGTTTTGCCCCTTGCACTATGTCACTTGGATGCTATGTCTTGGTTCTTGGTGCCCAGTTAGGGTCTACCATCCCCTAAGAAATGCCTCAGCCCACCCTCAAATCCCCAGAATGCCCAAGAGCGTAAGACCCCACGGAGACAGTGACTTTTCAGTGAATCTCCTCCCCGAGATGCTGGGGCCCCTGGCCTATATCATCCCATTGATCTTAGTCCACTCGTAGATGTCCTGTTCACACACTATGTCGGAGTTGATGAGGAGGTATCTGTCACCCACACAGAAATGCTTCTGACAGGCGGCACATTTGAAACATTCCAGGTGATACACTTTGTCCTTCACCCGCATCGTCATCTCATAGGCACGGATCCGCTTGTCACAGGATGCACAGAGACCATCTTGGCCGAAAAGCCTGGGGGGAAGAAAGAGAGAAGCTAGAAAGGCAGGGCCCGAGGTAAGACTGGAAGAAAGAGCCTGAGGATGGGTTCCATGATGTAGGCTGGATTTCCAAGATGTCGGGAAGCAAGAGTTGTGTCCAGACAGATGGCCAACTAATTCATCCACCTCACCACAACTGACTATGACTGATTCATAGTCTTTCCTAAAAGGAAGAGGGTCCTCTGACATGAAACCATGCCTGGGGCATTTGTGCTTGGCATAACTCGTTCCTCTTCTGAGTTCTCTCTCTGCTTCTAGGATGCCCTAGGACCTGCCTCTGTGAAAGGAATGAAGTGATTTGAGGTTAGCTGTGTGTAAACTGATACAGCCACGATGGAGAAGAGTATGGAGATACCTTAAGAAACTAGGAATAAAACTACCATATGACCCAGCAAGCCCCCTTACCGGGTATATACCCTGAGAAAAGCACAATTCAAAAAGACACAGGTACCCCACTGTTCATGGCAGCACTATTTACAGGGGCCAGGAATTGGAAGAACCTCGATGTCCATTGACAGATGAATGGATAGAGAAGTTGTGGTGCACGCACACACACACACACACGCACACGCACAATGGAATCTTATTCAGCCATAAAAAGGAACAAATTTGAGTCCATTGTGGTGAGGTGGATGAAGCTAGAGCCTGTTATAGAGAGTGAAGTAAATCAGAAAGGGAAAAACAAATATATATTAACACGTATATATGAAATCTAGAAAAATAGTACTGATGAACCCGTTTACAGGGAAGGAATGGAGACACAGATGTAGAGAACGGGCTTGTGGACACAGCAGAGGAAGAAGGGGGTGGGATGAATTGAGAAAGTAGCATTGGCATAATACACTACCATGGGCAAAATAGATAGCTAGCGGGAAGCTGCTATATAACACAGGGAGCCCAGCCTGGTGCTGTGTGACAACCTAGAGGGATAAATCAGGGGAGGGGAGGGGAGATATATATATATAATATATATAGTTTTACATATATAATTATGACTTACTCATGTTGTATGGCAGAAACCAGCAGAACATTGTAAAGTAATTTTCCTCCAATTAAAAAAAAAGTTAAAAATAAAAAAGGTTAGGCGTGGATTATGTGTCTCCTCCCAAGGGAACTTTTATTTTAGAAGAGGAGCAGGAGTAAACCCAGGGGGCTTCTTGAGAGGAATGCAATGAAATGGGCATCTTTCTGAGGCTCCCTCCCACACACTATCACATCAACGGCTCTAATTCCACCCATGGGGAGGGTTGGTCGTTTAACTTCTCCAGAGCCGCACAGGCCATCACACACAACGGCTCTGTAGGACCCCAGCTTCTGGGAGGCGGAGGGAGCTCAACAGTGAACAGTCCCTCGGCCACCCGGGGGACGAGCAGTAGTATCTCTCCATGTAGAATGGAAGATAATAATTCAAGATCCTTGCTGGCCCAGTGGCGTAAGTCTCTGAAAAACTTCTCTTCTGTCATCAAAATCAAGACCCTCCTAAGTCTCAGCTGACTGGTCATTTATTTTAAGCAATATGTGGTACCAAAGCAGGAGATGGACTACGGTGGAGCCTAGTGCAAGCTAAGTTGCTTCAATCCTGTCCGACTCTGTGCCCCTATGGACTGCAGCCCGCCAGGCTCCTCTGTCCATAAGATTCTCTAGGCAAGGATGCTGGAGTGGGTTGCTGTGCCCTCCTCCAGGAGATCTTCCCGACCCAGGGATCAAACCCAGGTCTCTTACATCTCCTGCACTGGCAGGCGGGTTCTTTACCACTAGTACCACCTAGGGAGGCCGGAGCCTAGTGCAGGGGCTCTCAAAGTGTGGTCCTGGGACCAGCTGTATTTGCATCCCCTGGAAACTTGCTAGAAATGCACACTCAGGCCCTCCTGACAGAGACGCGGGTAGAGGCCCAACCGTCCGTCTGGCCCTGAGTACGGCCAGGCGACGCTGATGCAGGCTGAAGTTTGAGAGTCAGCCGCACGAGTTGGGTAACACAACCACTGCAATCAGGAGACTCAGACCCGGGCTGGACCGGCCCGCGCACCTGAGTGACCCTGCGGAGACCTCTGCCGACTGAGCTTGTGGAATGACAGTCATCACAGCGCCCACCTCACCCGGCTGCTGGAGGGTGGAGCGCAGCAGGTCGGAGCGCAGTGCTCAAGGCTGAAGCCGATGCTGGCTGGCTTCTAACACATCTTGGGGGTATTCCCAAAGGGGCCAGTCTTGCTGCCTGATGACATGGCCTGTCAGCAGGTCTTTTCCATAGGAAACCTTCAGGGCAGTTTTAGGTAAATGCCTGCTCTTCTTGGAGGTTCTAATGAACTTCAGCATAGCACAGAATCAACTGGTAGGTTCTGAGAGGATGTAGGGGCGACGAGAGCAGTTGACAAATTTAGAGCAGAATGAATGGAACCAGGAAGATGCGGTCTGTGGGTGGAGAGCTCGTGGTTACAGCCAGGCTGGCTAGTTCCCTCCAAATCCCACTCTCCATGCGAAGGTCTCCGAGTGTTTTCAAGGCCCCACCTGGGAGCAAACTCATTACTGGGGGAAGAATACTACATCCCAAGACAGCAGATGGTGGAGCTGTCAGGAACTTCCACCTTGGAGGGCATGGGGTGGAAAGACAGTTCTGATTTCCTGGTCGTTCAGTAAGAGGAGTTTGGGCCTGAGTAAGAATAAACGACTCACAAAACAGCATGCTTGGAAAGCAGCCAGCTGCCTGAAGTGTGTGGCCCTTACGGAAGGGGAAGCGGGAGGTAAATTACAACACAGGTCAGGCAGTTAATGACGGGAAGCATGACGGACTAATATCTGGGAGACACCTTCAGATCCCAGCATCACCTTCAACCAGCCAGTCCTCCTGGAGCCACGGATATCCTCTGCCTTGGCTTCCGTGTCTTACGCTGTAAGACGGGAGAACTGGAAGGGAAGGAAGGCTTCTAGAGCCCCTTCCAGCTCTGGTTTGCTGAGACTTCACTAGGTGGAAATAAGCTAGGACTTGACATCTAACTTGCACGTTCACTTCTGAAGAATTGGTAACTTAGGCTGGCTATCCCAGAAACTGACCCTGAGGCAGGAGTTATTAAGGATGTGTCATCAGGGAAAACAGGTACAGTGGCAAGGGAAACCAGACAGAAGATGGAAGGCAGGCCAAGTTGCAATCTTGAGCCAAGTCCCTCAGAGGGGAGCTTTGGCCTGAATGCATGGGGACTCTGGGGTGTAAGCTGTGTCTCCAAGTGGTCTTGGCTCCAGGCAAGATTACTAGACTTCGGTCTCTGGCAATGCCAGCTACTGGGCAAGGTCTGCTGGGCATTGGGTGGGTGGGTGGGGGTACTGGGCAGGCTTCTGGCAATGGCAACCCACTCCAGTATTTGTGCCTGGAAAAATCCCATGGACAGAGAAGCCTGGTGGGCTGCAGTCCATGGGGTCGCTAAGAGTCAGACATGACTGAGTGTCTTCACTTTCACTTTTCACTTTCATGCACTGGAGAAGGAAATGGCAACCCACCCCAGTGTTCTTGCCTGGAGAATCCCAGGGACGGGGGAGCCTGGTGGGCTGCCATCTATGGGGTCGCACAGAGTTGGACACGACTGAAGTGACTTAGCAGCAGCAGCAGCTGTTGAAGGTAAAACAGTAGGGGGTGGGGGGTGCACTGAGCACAAAAATCATAAAAAGGGATCTGAGGGGATCTGGACTGGGTACTGATATTAACAGCTACTGTTAAATTCCCAAGAAAACAACATAAATAGCACAGGGTTTATTTAGGTTCAGGCTTCCCTGGTGGCTCAGATGGTAAAGAATCTGCCTGTAATGCAGGAGACGTGGGTTCGATCCCTGGATCAGAAAGATCCCCTGGAGAAGGGGATGGCTACCCTTTCCAGTATTTTTGCCTGGAGAATTCCATGGACAGAGGAGACTGTCCATAGGCTACAGTCTATGGGGTCGCAAAGAGTCGGACACAATTTAGCGACTAAGAGTTTATTTAGGATCTGCATGGAGATCTCCTGATTATGTGAGGCTAAATGTCTGAAAAAAGATTTTAACAGGCCAGGCAGCAACTGGAAACCCTGGGGAGAAGTTCTCCTGGGGTGAGGGTAGGTGGGGGGCGGTATAAAAGCCTGGACTGTATTATCTTTTTCTTTTTAATTTTTAAGATTAGTTAATTTATTTTTGGCTGCACTGGGTTGGGGGTAAGGACTGAACACCATCCCAGGACACATTTCATCACTCCTCCAACTTGCCTTTTGCAAAGGCACTGTCAGCTATGTTAAGAATGCAAGCAAACAAGTCCATGGCTGAAGGGCCATGCCTGCAGCAAGAAACGATTTTTCTCCTCTGTCAAGAGGTGTCATGTCTGAAGCTTCCACCTGCCCATTTTAATAACAATAATATAAATATGAAAGGATGGCTGGAAACGCCTGCACTAACAGAGTTAATTAACATGTTGCCTAGGAATGTAGCAGGGAGAAGAATTATTTCATGTCACCAAGACACAAGTTAATTAACATTGGGTTCTCCCAGACTATTTTTTTTTTCTCTCCTTTTTAAAAATGCAAGAGATTAACAAGCCCAGGCAGCACGGGGTTTTCTTCTTGAATGTTATATAAAACCTCAGAGATAGGGAGAAACCTCAGCTCTTTTGACCTTACTCTATCTGTACTTCATTTAATAAGATTCAAATGATTTGACAGGGATGTAGTCAGGGGGCCCAGTGGGAATCATTTACCCGTCTGCTTTTCTGCACTGACTTGGCAAACTAGTAGCGAGCAGAATCAGGTCTCTATTTATCCCAGTTCTATTTTCTTGTTCCTTAATAATAATAATAATAATAATAATAATAAATGGTCAAAATTAAAATCATGATCCTTGGAAACTTCTTTTCTGTGAACCACCAAATTTGCAAGGACTTTAATCAGGAAATTTAGGGGGGGAGAAAAAAGCTCCTTTTGTCAGTCTCTGGGCAAACAGATAAGCTTGCTTCACCATGGAATTGCCTGCAATTTTTTTTTAATGTAAAATGCTCTGAGGGCAGGTTTGGGAGAAAGAGCTGGCCTGGCAGCCAAGGGCACTGGAGTCTAAACAAGCTTCCCTGGGTTGGGTGGTCCTAATGTATTAAGGCTGCATGCTCCACAGACACTGTACCCCACGAAGATGGCAAAAAAACTGACAGTTACACAGTCGAGCAGATTTGACAGCAGACGGCATACAGTTACCTCTGCCGCAGCTAATATGAAACTGGAAATTTCATGTGAAACTAGAACATTCCAGGCAAAGGCACTTGTTTGAGAGTCAGAAAATTCACACAGCCAAATGTGTGACCCAGAGTATCCGAGATATCTTCAGTGCCTGTCTCAGTGGGTGCTCCAGAGTTCCTCTTTTGCCTTTCCATTTTTCCATCACTTTGTTTATTAGGTCGGGAAAGACTCTAATGATAAATGTCATGAGGGTTACCGAAAGACAACAGCTAACATCTATTTGATACCCATGCACCACGCCAAGCACCTTACATGTACCACCCCATCTAATTCCCACCCCTTCCTGGAAGTAGGTACCGCTATTCTATAACCCCATTTTACAGATGAGGAAATTGAGGCCTAGGAAGGTTATGTAACTTGTCCAAGGTCACAGAGCTAGAAAGCAGTGGTGTCGGGGCTCAAATCTACTGCTGACTTCAGGGCCTTCCTGCTGTGACCAAAAATGCTTGGAGTGCCGGGGCGAGATTATACTTTCAATTTTTTAAAATTTGTTTTTTTTAATTGAAGAATAATTACAATATCGTGCGGGGTTCTGCCATATATCAACATGGATCAGCCATAGGCATACATATGTCCCTTTCCTCTTGAGCCTCTCTCCAACCTCCCACCCCATCCCACCCCTTTATGTTGTCTCAGAGTTCTAGTTTGAGTTCCCTGAGTTATATAGCGAGTTCCCACCAAGCTATCTATTTTACAGACGTTAGTGTATATGTTTCCATGCTACTCTTTTTAAATTTCTCATCACATTATATCGAGAGCTTACAAAAGAATCCTTAGAAACCTATGCATGTTTTTGAAGCATCAAATGAGCTGCTAGGAATCCACACTCAAACTTACAAGCTTCAAAACTCCCAGTTCCCTTGGCATACCCTGCGCCTTCCTCCCCCACCCTCTCCCCTTGTCTGACCCCCAGAGGGAACCACTATTCTGAATTCTGTGCTCATCACTCTCTTGCCTTTAAAATATGAGAACTGGACCACACAGGCATGTGTCCCCGAGAACATGCTTCTCTAACAGGAAGAAAGGCCAACTGCTCCCCTGCATAGGGCAGCTGAGACCAGCGTGTTCTCGCTGGCCCTGGAGGCAGGCGCCAAGAAGACACAGCCAGGGGCCCAGGAGGGCGGCGAGGACGCACCTGAGATAGTCTCGGCGGCAGAGCTTCCGGCCCAGCTTGTAGTAGAGGCGCCGGCCCACCTCGCCCAGCCGGCACCCGCAGAGGTCACAGCTGAGGCAGTCCTCGTGCCAGTACTGGTCGATGGCCTTCAGGAAGTAGCGGTCCCCGATGTTCTGCTGGCAGCCTCCGCATGTCAGCAGGGACGGGGGCATCTGCAGCACCTCGTCCACCGGCTCCCTGGAAGGAAGGCCAGGCATTAGGGATGCCTCACCTTGGGAAGGCCACCATCAGGGGCTCAGGAGTCACGCTGCACCCCACAGAGAACCTCACTCAGTTGTCTGGTGACACTGGAGAAAGGAGGGGTGAGCATACACCCAGGGCAGACGGCAGAGAGGCCCTGCCAGCCTTGGGTGAGGACCGGAAAGGGCTAGCCCCTACGTCCTAGATCCTGGAAGAAGCAAGGGCGGGGCACCAAGAGGCACACAGGCAAAGGGTACTGCCCCTACCCCCTACAGCCCAGCCCCCTCCCAGACCTGTGGTCTCTCTTCTTCTTGATCCCCCCTTCCCCTCCGATTCCACCTCCACACCTCATCTCTTTCCTCCCCCCATATCCCGGAGCCCAGCCCCAGAGGAGGCACCAGGACTCTAAGAGTTGCTTGTGGCCCAAACAGTGACTACCCAGTGGGTTAAACATCTGCAAATTCCCTTTGGAATCTCTGCGCCACCTTGCCTCTATCCCTTTCCAACTGCACAAGTGTAGAGATGAGGAGGAAAGGGCCCCCAAATTATTTTAGGTTGCTTTCTCTTTCCCAAATAAAAATACCATCAAGATATAATAGAAATTCTCATTATTATTATTTTTAACAGAAACTTCACATCCTATCCTTCTTATGGAATGAGTCCTTGAGGAAAAATCTCGGGTGTTAAATAATCCACTGTTATATTTATAAAGGAGATCAAACAGACCTTTTTGCACATGAACACTTTCACAGCAGCAAAACTGATTCGCATGAAGTTGATTTAGGAAAGAAAATGGGGAGGGGGCAATAGTTCTTTTCGGCAGAGAGTGTGGAAGGCAATTAAACACTGAAATCTCCAGGCAATTGTTAAGAGCGAGCCTGTGACATGTTTTCTTTCATTACAAAATCATATAGTGTCTCCAGTTCACTTAACTGGAATCTGAATCCTTTTGTTTTACATTTTAAAAGAAATAACTTTACTTGCCAGAAGAGGATTAAAAAAAAAATAGAAATGATTCCTGCACCAGATGGGACATAGGAAAAACTGAATACCTGTTGATCTGTAGCAATTAACAAATGCTATCTTGAACTTCACTCAAACACAAATCTATTTTTCAGAAATCTATTACGTTTGGAAAAATGGACCTGCTTCCAACTGTGAAATTCCCAAAGTGAATTTCCCCCTTGGTACCTTGAGGATATAAATCTGTGTTTCCTATTTCCAGCTGATGCTGGCTTACTTGGTGACCTTGCACCCTGACTGGCCTGTGCCCACAGCATTTAAGGCCCTTTATATTTAGGAAGGATGAGGCTCAGGGAATCAGTGTTGATAACACACTCTGACACCTTCAGAGAACTCTGTCTGTTCACTTTGCTGTGAATATTCAGGAATATTGAACCCAAGCCCACACTTTGAAGAACAGGTATGAGGGTCCTTTGTGAGATGATCTCCTTGCAGACCAGGGAAGTGTAAAACCCAAACTAATCATCTCCTAAAAACTCAAGACTTTAGAGTTTTAAGCATCCACTGAAGCCTGACTCGTCTTTGTTTCCACAGGTTATGTATAAGGACGTCCACCCTCCCTCCTGAAAAATAAAACATCCAGCATTTTCCCGTGCATCGCCTCAGAATCACTTCTCTTCCCTTTTCACAGCCCGTGGCCTCACTTTAGGCTTTCAGAAACATTCATGGAACCTCAACACCACTGGATGCCCTGACGCAGATCCTGCCAACCAACTGTGAAAGAAGAGAATTTGCACTTAGCTGGTGCAAAACTGCCTGGAATTAAAATGAACTGCTCCTGTTATTCACAGGGAGGCAGCAGGGGCCACCGATGGCATAGTAGAGAAAATCTGTGTGTGTGTGAGTTCTGGCTGTATTTCTGTCTAAATGTTTCATGTGCATAGGCTAGGCAAGTTTCTGGGTGTAATTTGGAGGTGCTGATCAGACTGACCTCAGTCACACTGACCCAGGTATGTATACACTGAAGCATCTGGTAGGGGAGTGGTCCATAGGAGAAATGTTAAGCCAAAAAGCTACTGTCTGTGATGGCCTAAGATGAGATAGGAAAGGACTGGATAAGATATTGGCTCTATCTTTCTATAATTAAAGATAATATCACATTATCTTTGGTGGATGTTCCAAGCCAATAACTGTGGGACTCACCCTCTTATTAATATTTTTACATTCTCCTAGAGCCTATCTGAATATTACACCTCAATACACTTCGGCCTGGATTTTTGGGATAATTTCTCAACAGTTTCCAAGAAAAATATGGGGGGGGGGAGTGTGCTGCAATAATTTCTCAGCTAGCTGGTCCATCTCCAACTAGAGCCTGTCTTCACTGGGCAAATAGTGAAGCAAAGGATAGAGAACACCCCACTGAGCATCCTTCCGTAGACGCCTGCTGTGCTGCGAGGTGAAGATGTTTCAATTTTGCAGTCTCTTTGTGAAAAAAGCATAAACTTTGAAAAGAGCAAACTTCCTTCAGGGAACTGAAACCTCCAGGTTTATCTTCTAATAAAAAGATGAGTGACTAAGTTCTGCTGATAGAAAAGGCATTAGGCACCTATCAAAGGTAATTCATCCAATTCACTCTCTTATTGTATTACTATCATCTTGCCCAGGCTCTGAAAACTCAGGGCTAAATTGTAACTCTAGGTTTGTTAAAAAAAAAAAAAAAGAGAGAGAGAGAAAGTGAGCAAAGCACTCTTTTCAGAGTTTTCCTAAATAAATACTTAAAAAAAATAAAAGCAATGTTATTTTTTTCCCTGAGAATTTAAGGAAGCTGGGGTTTTGTTAGAACAAACCTGACTCCTTGTAGCTCTGGCTTCTGAACCTTCAGGATTGAATAGTGATGTTTATATTCTCACTGGGTCATGGTTACTTCCTGTGTTTTATGAGAACACGCTGAGCTTTTATGCTGGTAACTGAGGGTAAAACCCAGGTATATAAACACCATAGGAGGCTGAAATTGGGAGGAGGAGGTATTTCAATCAGGAAAGCACAATTCTTTTAAAGCAGGAAAAGAAAACAAAACAAATGCCTCTTAAAAGCACAAATGGACAAGTCATTAACCAGCTCCTTTGGTCTGTGTAACAAATCCCTTCAAAGGATTTAGATGGGGACTTCAAAGGAATAAAAATTCTCAAAACCAGACAGCTAATGAATCTTAAAAGGGCATTTGCGCTGACGGGAAAATGATATCTTAAACATCCCTTTCTCCCCATGTTAACACTGAGCAATGGGCTGAAGGTAAAGATCGGGAAGAGGGGGGATACTTCAAACCAGTCAGTGGCTCAGAAAACTAATGCGGTTCATTTAGAGCTCTGGTTCCCAGACCCTACACCCTTTGAGATTGTGACAAGAGCCGTAAGACTCCGCTAACCGGAAAAATTCACCTATATCCAAAATGGTGCACAAACTTTCAAGGTTCAAAGGTACCCATCGGTGGACACCGAGGGGAGAGGCGTGGCCGCGAATCCAGACTAACTCCCCGTGTTGTTCGGGTGCTCTAAAGTCTCCGGAGGCCTGAGTGAGCTCCGAGGTGAACTCCCGCACCTCCTCACCCGCGGGTCCCCGGCGTGGTGGGCCACCGCTCCACCTGCGGACCCGGAAGGGGCCCGGCGGGGACCCGGGGCGGGGGGCGGGGGCTCCACTTGTAGTATCCCCCTTTCCAGGGCCAAACGGACAAAGAGAAGGAACGAGAGGGGAGAAGGGAGCAGAATCGAGTCCTGAAGGCTCTCGGGGCTGCACCGGCGCGCCTCTGACCTCCCCCTGTGCCTGCTCCGGTGCAAACTTTCTGGCCCGAAGTGGCTTTAGGGAGCGTCCCAGGGAGCCGCCAGGGGCCCGCTCAGGCGCGGGGCCGACCCCTCTTCCTGCCGCCCGCCACCCAGCCCCTCTCCCAGTGTCCCCGGAGTCACCCAAGAGGATGCGGGAGACCCGCGCAAGGCAGAGGGAAGCAAGGGCACGCCGCGGGCGCGCACCTGGAGCCTTCTCTCCGGCCGCCCGCGCCACCCCGCCGCCCTGGGGCGCGAGGCCGGGGACCCTCGGTGGCAGGGGCGCCGCACTTACTCAGATGGGTCCAGGCTCTTCCTCTCGATGGCCGAGGACATTGGGGAGGGAGGTGGCGTGCCAGGCGGCGGGGGCGCTCCCTTTGTGGCGCGGGGCTGGCCGGCTGCCGGGGCTCGGACCCCCTCGGGTGCTCGGGCGCCGCCGCCGCCGCCGCCGCTCCTGCGCCTCTTCTTGCTCCGGCGCTCTGGCGGCGAGCTCGCCCCTCCGCGCTCAAGGACAGTCACCGCGCTCCCTTCAAACGCCAAAGAGAGAGAGCGAATCACCGAGCTGCCGGCGCGCCGCGGCCGAGGCGGGGACCGGGGCGCGCAGCCTGGCCCCGGGCGGCTGCAGCTGGTGCTGCTCAGGACTTAACCTTCCATCCCGGTCCCTTTTTTTTTTTAAACGGGGCTCCTGGGGATTAGCGATACAAACAGCGGCAGCCGCAGCAAGACTGAGTTGGCTTCTTAAAGGGGCCAGCGTCGGGGACAGGGAGACTCGCTCAGAGAACACCTCTCCTTGGAGAGGCGGCTGGGTTGCCTGTAAAGCATTCTTTAGGGCTTTCCCTCTTCGGCGTTCCCCTTTTGGTTAACTAAGATTGAAAGTGACCAGAGGGCCGCTCAAGGAAGAAAGAAAAAACGAGAATGTGAAATAAACACATACAGAGATGTACGCGTTCCAAGTGGCTTTCGCGCGCGTCCGGGGTTGGAGGTCCCAGGTCCGCGGACAGGGAACGCGGAGATGCCCCCCAGACAGTGCGGCTTTGCTGGCTGAGGACTTGTGACTGCGGCCGCGCTCCAAAAGACGACGGGAGCTGGGCGAGCAGGGACCGCTCGGGCTGGGTACGCCTGAGCAGTGCCAGGGGCAGCTAATCCCGAGGGAGGGTGGTTGGGAGGGACCGAGCTGGCCTGTCTCCTCTCCATCTGCTGGCGGCAGAATTCCCTCCCTCAGCATCTTTAAAAATCGGACCCCTGTGGTTAAACTGGCCCCTGTAAAGGGCCAATAGCACTCTGCGCAGAGAAAAGTGCCTCTCCAATGATGGAGAGCAATGCTTGGAGACTATTTTGCCCTGGGTCAGAAAAAGAGAGAGAAAGCAGACTTATTTAGTTCAGGTTTCCCCTCTAATCTCAAAGGCAAATTTCAAGAAGAGAGAGGAATGTAGAAGGGGAGAGGAGGAAGCTAATAGTCTTCTCTTCAATAGAGCAAAACTTTAGGTCCCTTGGGCCTCATCAGAGTTCCCTGAAAATAATTGCATTCAGAAATTATACTAAAGGCCTACTTGTGCACGCCACAAGTCTTGTAAAGAGGAAGATACCAGTATTCTCAGGATCCGTGGTTTTATAGGAGCAGTCTAGATCATGGTCATGGACACTGTATTCCCATTTTAAAGATGACACTGAAGGGTCTGGATGAGTTCACCCTGGAAGAGGGTGGTTGAAGTCAGAAGTACATCCCTGTAGGCTTCGTTTTCCTTGTTCAAAGCTGATCCTAACTTCTCACACGCATATCTAGAATTTACCATTGTCTGCATGCTCTTGTCCTTATGTCCATGTCCAAAGCTTGGGTCCCTGTGGGTATAATAAAAGTCTCTCCCAATTTCCTCCACTCTCACCTGTGTGTGTGTGTGTGTGTGTGTGTGTGTGTGTGTGTGTGAGCGAAAGGAAGTCTTAAGAGCAGCTTTGGGTCCAACTCAAGCCTTTCAATCTAAAAAGAACTTCTCTTGCTCAGGCCCTTGTATTTAGTTTAAAAAGGGAAAATGCCTAGCATTTTTAAGTCAGTCTAAATTATGTAATAAACATATAACCCACCACTTTACAATCAAAAATGAAAATAAACAAATAGGCTTTGATGAGCAATTCACCTGCTTACAACCAATCAGTGTGGTGGTGAAATGCTAAGACTTGGGCTTTGGACTGCCTGCGTTTGATTTAGGCTCTTATCAGCTAGTGGAGCCTATCTAGGAAAGTCACTTAATCTGAAGAGGCAGTATTGGGTAGTGGCTGTGGAGTCAGACTGCCTGCGTAACAACCCACACTTTCCTACCTGTGAACCTAGTGGAAGAGTAGGAATTTATAAACTCCCAGGATCCTTATCTGTCAATGGGGGTACCAGAGCCTATTGCATCAACTGTTGTGAGGATTAAATGAGTAAATGCATGCAGTGTGGCCTGTAGACCTGTAATGAACTGGGGGTAATAATGGATATGAGATTACATGCATGCAAAGCATTTGGTGTGTATTAAGCACTCATAAATGGTAACTTCTGTGTTGTAGGAAAAAATCATTGGGAGAATTTAAAGAGTTTGAAATTAAATTCAAAGGTGAAATGGAGGTTAAAAATAAGAACTTTCCAATTTCCCACTTAGATTTGAAAATCTGTCCCATTTTTAACAAGCAAACAGAACAGTGTCCTTTCACTTTACCTCCTTGTGCTCGTAAACAAAACATTTGCATTTTCCAGTTTAATGTTTAGTATCTTGGTGAGTACGTGATGTGTTTTCATCTGCTTGCTTTTATTAAATCTGATAAGTTGCTTCCTTCCTTGCTATATAGTTTTGCATGGAGCCTAAATTAGTTGTTAAATTAAATATACCCTTGGGTTCCAGGAGGTAACCTCCAAACGGCCAACTTTGGGACATGAAGTTTCCTTTTAATAATATGCTTCTGTTTTGACCCAAATGTGTAAAGAAAGAGTGATTACTGATGACTTTGGGTCAGTTTCTTATCTTTCACCACTCTTTGGGGAGAACTTCCTTAGAGAAAGTGAATATTTGAAATGGTATCTTAAGATTTCAATTTCACACACAGTGGTTGTAAGAAATAACTGCCTGCCAGTGGGATTTCATTTCTATTCAACGGGCAATTAAATTGCTCAAATTTAAGTTTAACATTTAGAATTGAATCTCAAAGTGTGTTTTCATTATGAATAATTTTAAAGCAATCATGACCTTATTGTATCCTTCCATAGCAACCTTATGCCTTATGTAGAAGAGGGACTCAGTAACTAGGAGGCAATTTGAACATGTAAAATGGTTCTTGAGAGTTGGGGAAATCTGGACTTGATCCCTCCCCAGTGGGTTTGCAATTTAATTCCTTTTACCCACCTCCGACTCCTTGCAAATCTTACATACCTTAAAATTTAGAAAATTTCCAAGTTTTCCCTTCCTGAATGTGAATGTCACAGGAAGACTGAATCAGTTGGCATGATGATTCTGATTCTAGGTGGATTACTTTCTTCCTGTTGGCATTTTCTATTCTTTTTTATTATTATATCTACAATTGTTTTCTCAGGAAGAGCAGTTTCAAGTGAGTAAGGCTACATTTCTTTGCTAAAATGGACTTCTAGTAGAAAGGAAAATGCAAATGTCATTGGGAAAATGCCAAGAATGACAATTTACCTCTTCTATTTTTTTTTTTTTTTACAACCTTTAGAAGCCAAGGTGCATCATATACCTGTTAGTTGTGACACAGACATAAGGGAAAAAGATTTGTCTTATTATGGCTTCAACTCCCATGGAAACTTCTTTAAACAACTCAGTTGTCACAGGAATCTGGTTTCCAACTCATCGCAGAACATTTCAGGGCATGTTGATGGATATATTTTCAGAATGTTAGATCTATCAGTAACATTAGTGAAAAATAAACCAGTTTTCCTATATAGGAGAAAAAAGCCCCACAAATCTTTTTCAAAAATCTTTATCAACTGAGTTTAGGAGATGAGCATAGGTGTCAGAAGGCATAACTCAGCTGTTTACTAGCTGGGTGACTTGGGGGAAGTTATTTCACCTCTCTGAACCTCAGTTTCTATATCTCTCAAATGGAGGCAACAGTAAACTCAGCAGGGTTGGGACTAGAGTAAGGGCACAGGGATACCTGTTCACGTCACAGGAATTTTAAGAGGATTCAATAGGGTAATGTGTATAAAAATGCTTTACACAGTGATGTAAATGCTCAGAAATGATACCTGTTGTTATTACCCCATCTTTCAGAAGTCATCACTACTGTATCAAGGAACAGCAATCTCCTAGCCAGTCAGGACCTCGACCAAAGAAGGCTGAGACTTGGGTGCTGTAGAAAAAGCTGGAGTGTACCTAAGACATCAGCTGGCTCCAGGCTTGGGAAGCCCCCACTTTCCAATCAGAAATTCAGGAATGTGACCATTTAGGTCCTAGGTAGGCTGTTGACAGTTTCATTGCTTCCCTACCACATGGCCTGCTTCAGCCACATCCCTGATTGCATGTTTCTGATTTTCCCCTTTCCAGCAACTTCTAAATCACCTGTTCAGACTGAGATGGGAGACAAAGTCAAAGTGCTGACGTAACTGCCCCCAAATGTCACAACTCCACAGCGAGGTCTTAAGCAGAGTTAAACTCATGACATGTATGAGTGGAAGGAGCCTCTGAAATGTGACTTCCCAGCTTGCTCCTTGGAGCAGTTTGAAGTGTTTCCTTAGTAGGTTCCACCTGTTCCTGCTCCAACCACAGCAGCTCTGCCCCTATTGACATGTTGCTTAACCTCTCTGGACTTCAGCTTCTGCATCTGTAAAGTGGGCATATTCAGGGTACCTATCTCACGGAACTGCTATAACAATTCTGTGAAATGAAACATATTATATAAGGTACTTGGAAAGGAGCCAGGCACAGAGTAAGCTTCTGCAGAAGGTTTGGCTTATACAGAGAGATTCCAGCTTTAAAATAATTGAACACCCATTGGTGATTCAGAGCCCCATTGATGGACAAGGCAAGTGAGACCTAGAGTCAACAGTTTCTTCTTCTGTCTCTGTCCCCGTCAAATCCTCCCCCACTTTCTCCCTTGGGTACCAGACCTTGAATTTATCTGTGGCTCTGAATTCAAGGGGGAGTCAGAGCTGGGTGAGCTGACTCCCAGAGCTGCCCTGATGCCCCTTGTTCATGAGGCTCATAGCTTCCCTTCAGTGTCTCAGAGGCAGCCCACCTGAGTGACGCAACACCTCTCCTGGGACACTCAAACGGCACACGTGAAATCTCAGCTCCTTTCTGTGGCCTTGAAAGCCTTATCCTAAAGCCCCTACTATCCTTTTCCATTATAACCCCTTCACTATGCTAGGTCCACACTGATGTTTTCCCTAAACTTTAAAACAAACCAAGTCAACTCCTATTGGAGGATCTTTGCACCTGCTCTTTCCTCTGCCTGAGATGCTCTTCCTCTAGAGCATGCTATGGCTCCCATGTACTTCATTCTGGTTCAAATGTTTATCCTCATAAGAGCCTTTTAAAAT